CTTCTCTAAACTTCCTGATTCTATGGCATACAGGGCTGGGTCAGAGACTTGTGTTATTGGCTCTTCTGGTATCTTGTTTCTCTCCCTGCATTCTATGTAAAGTTTTTTTTTTTTAATATTTATTTTTTAGAAGTAGTTGGACAAAATACCTTTATTTATTTATTTTTATGTGATTTAAAAAAACAAAATTTACCATTTTAACAATTTCCATGTGTACAATTTGGTAGTGGTTAAGTATAGTCACATTGTACAACCAATTAATGCCTTTTCAGTTGTCTATTTTCCATTTTCCCCTGATAAATTATAATTCTTCTTTTTTTTTTTTGTAGTGCTGGGGATTGAACTCAGGCCTTGTGTATGCAAGGCAAGCACTCTACCAACTGAGCTATATCTCCAGCGCTAAATTATAATTCTTAAGGGAAGAACTATGCTATGTTTTTAGTGCATAGTACACCCTATTACACAGAATAGTCTTATATACTTCTGTGTGTGTGTGTGGGGTGGTACTCGGGATTGAACCCAGGGTTGCTCTATTTCTGAGCTTGACATTCCAAATCATTTTTGTTTAGTTAGTTTTTATTTTGAGACACAGTCTCACTAAATTTCCCAGGCTGGCCTCAAATTTGCAATCCTGCCTCAGCCTCCTGTGTGGCTGGAATTACAGGCATGTGCCACCGTGCCCAGCTTAATAAATACTTTCTGAATACAAGTTTCTGCTGCATGTTTGTCTGTGTCTGTCTATCCATTCACCTAATTCGGAATCAGAACTAAGGAATGAGGTATTTCCACAAAAATGATGCAAGTATGTTAACCAGAAGGAAAGACTTTTTTTGACTAGTTTCCCAATTAGGGTATGAAGAGAATTAGATTATGTCCCCCCAAATATGCCACCTTGTCTAAAGACTAAACTAGAGCAACTGAAAAAGAGCAGATGCAAGAGAATCTCTTTGCCCTCTTCTCTCTAAAAGCAAGGCAACAGAAGTTTTCATTCAAACAGAAGCAAGGCAACAGAAGTTTTCATTCAAAGTTGTCTCTCTCTCTTAATTACTACACATGACTGGAGACACCACTTGAGTCTGCACAACAAACATTTTTAAAAAATCTTTTTCTTCCGTTAGTTTTCCCATAAATTTAACCTCCAACCATTTATATTCCCTAGAAACCCAATCACCTCACCCATGTCTACTTACTTTTCCACAACTTATTGCTCTCTGTAAAAATGATATATAAGCCCCTTGGTCTAACCACTTCTTTGGATCTTCATTTCTTTCCTATGAAGACTTCTTTATATATAATAAACCTTTTCTCCTGTTAATGTATCTTCTGTCAATTTAATTTGCAGGACATCTGTCATTAATCTAAGTTTGGATCTGGAGTGTCCTCCAAAGTTTCATGTGTTAAAGGTTTGGTCACCAGTCTGTGGCACTAGTGGAAGGTGGTGGAAAGTTTAGGAGGTGGGGCCTAGTTGGAGAAAGTAGGTCATTGAGGCCATGCCCCTGAAAAGAAAAGAAAAACTTTTCTCTCCCCTTCAGGTAAATTGCAGATATTTTCATAAATTTAGATGAGTATAATCTGTAGTTTCAAGATTTTTCTCAAATATACATTTAAATAATGTGATAAAATCATAGTAGTTTAGCAAACAGGTATTAATATTAACATGTTGCCAGGTATGGTGGCACACACCAGTTATCCCAGAGACTTGGAAAGCTGAGGCAGGAGGATTACAAATTTGATGCCAGCTTCAGCAACTCAGCAAGACACTGTCTTAAAATAAAAAAGGCTGGAAATATAGTGCAGTAGTAGAGTGTCTCTGTCTTCAATGCCCAGTACCCCCACCCCTCCCTGAAAAATTAATATTTTAACTTTCCTATTATTTAAATATGTGGGGCTAAATAAGGATGGACTATTGTTGAGAAACTAAAAATGTTAATAACTAATGACTGGTTAACAGATCAATTTTTATTCAGTTTATGATCAATTCTTTGCTTTAATTTATTTCTAATTCTGTTTTCAATAAGGAAAACTTGCTTAGTATAATAATTCATAGACTATGTAATTTTGTTGGCATATAACTGAATTTGTTCAAACACCTAAGTGACATCTGTAACATTCTCCTCTTCACAGCAATGTTAATAAGATTTTTCAGACTTTATCTAACTGAAAAAGGGAAAAGTAACATAAATTTATTTCATCAACAAATATTTATGTGCACCAGACACAGAGGCACATGCCTGTAATCCCAGCAATTAAAGAGGCTAAGGCAGGAGGATCACAAATGCAGGTCAACCTCAGCAACTTAGCAAGACCCAGTTTCAAAATAAAAAATAAAAGGGCCGTGGATATCCCTCAGTGGTAAAGCACCCCTTGTCAATCCCCAGTATAAAAGAAAAACAACAACAACAAAAACAAACAAACAAACAAACAAACAAACAAAAAACAAAGGAAAGAAGAGGAAAGAAAAGAAGGAAGTTTGGTTGACATGTACATTTTTATTTTATTAAAACTTGTAATATATTTGTAAAGGTGCTTTCATTAACCATAGATAATAATCAGGATAAAAATAATTACAACTTAGAAAAGAAAAAAAATTAATCTTTAATCAGCACCTTGTAAAGAAGTAAAGAATTTAATTTCAATTTATATACATACATAGATGACAAAAGTCATTAAAATATAAAAATGTATTACATTTGTTACATATAGTTTGGAACTGGAGTGTCCTCCAAAGTTTCATGTGTTAAAGGTCACCATCCTGTGGCACTAGTAGAAGTGGTGGAAAGTTTAGGAGGTGGGGCCTAGTTGGAGAAAGTAGGTAATTGAGGCCATGCCCCTGAAGGATATATTGGGATCTCTCTCTCTCTCCCCCTCCCCTCTCCCCACTTCCTTCCCCCCCATTTCTGGTTACCATGAGCTGACCAGCTTTGCTCTACTGAACATTCCCTGCAATGATGTTTTGCCTGGTCACAGGTCCAAAATTGATGGGAACAAGTAACCATGGACAGAAACCTCTGGAATTCTAAACCTAAATAAATCCTCCTTTAAGTTGATTTTTTTCCCCCAGGTATTTTGTCATGGTGATGGAAAGATGACTAACACAACATTAAAATAAAAATATATTACATTAAAATAAATGGGAAAGAGATAAACTTTCTACCGTAGACTGCTTCATTTTTTAATAAATTATGCTAAATATCAGACTTTTTTATTTAGGCAACCTGGATATATTTAGTAGAAATATTTAGCAGTTTTATTTTAAAATATGTTTTAAATGTACTTGTAATGATATATTTTGTATTTTTTAAAACTTCAGATGAAAAATTTCAGCTGTAAATTTAAAAATGTTCAAGAGATAATATAGTATATAAAATTAATTGTAGGGACTCATGAATGGCCAAAAATTTTTGTCTAAAGACCAGAAAACTATTAAAATTCTTATTTTTCTAGCTTTGACTTTTTTAGATTCAGAGTGCCCCCCAATCTTACCTCCATAATAGGGATTTAACCTAGGGGCTCTCTACCACCGGGTCACAACTCTAGCCCCCTTTTAAATTTTGAGATAGGGTCTCACTAAATTATTACCCAGGCTGTCCTCAAACTTGGAATCCTCAGCCTGAGCATCTTAAGTAGCTGGGATTATAGAAGAATGCCACCGTGCCTGGCAGGACTTAAGAGTGCTTACAGACTTAAAGAATTCAGGTTTTTGGCTTCTTAATGAATGGTATTAGTATAGTCATAGCTACATTATGTTCTAAAATATTCAACCAAAAATACAATGTTTATTTTCACCTAGGAATGGGAGAATGGTTCTTAATAATTTAGTAAAAGGAATCATAAAATACCATGTATCAAATCAGCTGGCTAATTTATAAATTTATTATATCAACCTTCAAAATGATAATGTATTCCAACACTGAAAGATGGCATTTCTCAGCAAGAGTTAAAATTAAGGGAGCTATGGGGATGTGTTTCCTTCACTGAGGTCCTTAAATTATATCAGTTAACATGAGTACCTATTAGTAGTAAAATTACTGGCCACATATATCACTACTACTCTAACCACAGAATCTACTGCAAAAAAATCCAAGTATGTTATAATGTGTTCTGCTGGACCAAATCTCAAAGCTTACTAAAATAATGCCCTAATCTTTCATGACTATCAGACACTTTTGGTAAGTATTTTGTAGCATTGGCTAAGGCTCTTAAAATACAGACTCTCAATTAAAAAACAAAAATCACTGAAAAAATTTTACCCAAGTATTTAAAAATAACTACAATAATTTTAATTAGTTACATTTCCTTTACCAACTATAGATGAGAAGCACAGTATCTAAGGTGTGGGCTAATATTGATTTAAATAGATAAAGAAGGAATGCATTTTAGTAAAAGGAAGTGAGATCGTTGATTGACATTTCTTGGAAAAAGGTTAAAAATTCAAAAGAAGTGACTGCATGTATCTCAGAACTTAAAAGCTTTTTTCTCTTCCAAACAGAAGAGCAGAAGCAAGTAATAACCGGTTGCCATGGAGACAAAAAACTAGAGGGATCTAAGAACTCAATTTGCAGTTAAATGGGCTGGAAACAATCCTTACTACTTGGTGAAGGAAAGCGATTAAAAGTATACTTGATTGCCAGAGGGACTCTTTTTTACCTAGCCATTTCCCCACCTCATTAATGAGCAAGGAAGTCTAAAAAACCAAATGAAAACCCAAGGTATCCTTAGAACTGAACCCATTAAACATAATTCAGGATTTCAAACATTATCACAATCCTTCCTATTCTAAGTGACTATATTACTTTTCAATGGTATTCATCAGTAAATATTAGAATGAGACTAAAATTACGTTTAATGAGACTAAAATTACAAACTGATATAAATGAAGGAACCATAATTGCAGTGAGAAAAAAGAACATGACCAATGGAAAAGTAACCAGAGTGAGAAATAGATTCAAAAAGTGAAAATTCAGACCCTGAAAAGTCTCTTTAAGTCAATTATAGTATACCTTTGTGAGTGCTGTAAAGGGCTGCAAACGTCACCATGAAGAAAGTTGTGGAGTATTTGCCAGCATTAACTAAATGAGGAAAGGCCCTTCTTGTGTCACGGTATCGACGCAGGCACTGGATGAAGCGAAGCCAAGCAGGAATGCACTGAACAATGGCTCGCACACCATATGAATATTTATGGCAGATTTCTGGTTCTGTGAAGATTCCAAAAAAGAAAAAAATTACAACTAAAAAAAAAGCACGTTTACAACACTTAGTCATACAGGGTAACCATTAGCAAGTTCACAAAGGCAAAAGGCTTAGGGTTCAGAATTACTTCCTTCCTTGCAACTATTATATTCTCAAGCCTTTTAGTGGTAGTTAAACCAAGGAAAAGAGGTAAAAATCTATAGAGGGGACTAGAAGGAAAATCTGCTCTCAGATTTATGGATATGGGTTCTAGAATCACTTTCTTTGGAGTTTGCCAGACCTTTAAGAAATTAGAAAATGAGTACACTATAAAGAGGGGAAAACTAATTTGCTCTATAATTTGAAACATCTGGAAAACTAAAAAATGTCACAGTTGACTTTAGATAATTCGATGAACTGCAAACCATCACAGCATAATACATCCAACAGCACATGCTCTTGTGTTAAAAACAAAACAAAACAAAATAAAAACCCCAACCAAGAATAAACGTTCTATTTTTAAATGAAAAGAAAAAGTTAATAAATTGTTTCTTGAATTCTGGTTATATATTGTTGTGTGTTCAACATACAATAGGGTTGTGATCCACTGGAAATCACTGAAAATGTGTCTGGAACAGATTTTATCAAACTTTTTAGTCAGATGTTACATAATCTATCTAGATGCTTGTCATGAACATAAAATTGAATTCCTGGCACAAAATAGGAGTGGGACAAAGAGCCAGAGAAAATCAAGGTCCCAAATAAGAATTAAAAGTCATTATCATGAAAAAAAAAAAAGTCATTATCATGAATTACTTGAAGCACTTATTCTGATTCGATATAATCAGAATTTTTGATCGCTGGTATAACATTCTAAAGCATACTGTGATGACACTTCGTTGGCATTACAGTATTTGTGATATATTAGAGCTTTAAAAAAATGGTTTTAGAATTCTTTAAGTATAACTTGTAAATCTCTTGGCAAACAGATGACTAAAATCATAGCACAATTTAAAAGCCAAATTATTTCAGATACGGAATTGTTAACAGAGTGCCAAGTACATTTAGTTAAGTTTGTAATATTATTGGATGAGTTTTCACCATGACCTTAACTTTCTCAGTTATCATTCCCGATATTTCTTGGTTTACACTGGCAATTTTTTAGTGGGAATGCAAATTCATCTCCTACCTTCTGAATCATTTGGCAACAGGCCCTTATTTTTATTCCATTCAAGCTCAAAACTGTAGAAGCAGATCATATATTCCAGGTCCATTAGAATCACTGACAGGCTGTTCAGCTGATCAGCCAGCCAGAAATCAGCAAAGCCTACCTTATGAAAGGGGGCAGTAAATACTCGAAACTGAGAGAAAGAAAGAAAAAAAAAAATCAGAAAACACAGAAAGAAAAAAAGTCATATTAGATTTCTCTAATTCATGTCTGACTACTCAGCATTATTACTTTAGTTGATAAAATGAAAATCAGTGGACCAATCACAGACAAAGACAAGGACCAGGAAACTGGCTTGGTAGGGAAGGGAATGAATTCAATGGACAACTAAGAAGGAAATGGGCGTGGAGGCAGGATTGTTACAGTTAAAAAACAAAGTGAAGAGGTAGGAAGAGTTGAAGCTGAAAGTGAAGAGTGGCAGATGGTATAAGTACTGAGAGGAAGTTTAATATTAGGCTCTAATGGAAAATTTGCTGGACAGGTGAATATTTTGATCATTTCCAGAATGTTTTACTATCTTAGATAAATGAATACAAAGCCCTGTGCCTGCAAAGGACAGGTAGGAAGGAACACTATTTGAGGCACACTTTATTCTCTAACCAAAGTGAATTTCATTTCACTAATGTCACGGTAATAGTTGTGTTCATTTTGAAATCAGCCCTCTTCACACTGTTCTAAAAACAGTGATAAATGTATTGAACAAATTAAACATTAAGATAATAAGTTATAGGGCTTATGTGTGCTTTAACTCTCATAACAATTCTATAAATTAGATACTACTCACGTTCTCATTTTCCAGAAGACCTACATAAACTTAGCCTGCCCTGTTCTGTGGAAGCCTGTTTACCATAGCAAAGGGGGGGATTAATGCAATCATCAGGAACAGGTTCAATCTGCACAGACTACCTTGATAAGCCTGTGTGAAGTAAAGATGAGATGAAGGTAGCTTTATTCACTCTTGGACCTCTGCTATCTTACTACAACAGAAGAAATTGAACTCCTGAAACAAGGAATTCTGACAAGCAGCAGTTTTGAAAAAATGAGTAATTCTCTTGCTCCCTAGAAATCTAGCTATATATATTCTTTTAGTAAACAAAATCAACCTGGGAGTCTATGGCATTTCCCTTTCAGACTTTCCCCCCTAAATATCTCTCTTTATTATTTTAGGAGGATAAATAGCTATATATAAATGGCTATATTATGAATCAATCCTGGGTGTCAACTTTCTATGACAGATATTGCCTTGGATCCTTGGAGAATTGGAAGCTAGACCAGGTATTTGTGGGATACAAAGCGGGTTTTGAGATGTTATTTTTCTGGAGCTGATATATCTTGGTTCCATGACTCAGTCTCTTGATTACTCTGACACTTTTTCAGTGAATCTAATAAACCAGAGAGAAAAGTTATATTATTTGTGACCATAAGCTCCAGATACAGAAAATTCTTTTGGATGGGTGTTGTAGGGTAGTGTGGGATGGTAGTTATCTATGCAAGTAGAGATTCTGGTGCCAGTTTTTATAATATTTTAAGAAACTATAGGGTACAGGATAGACTTAAAGACCAAAGAGAAAGACAGGAGGATAATTAAGGATATTAAAGCCAAAAAAAAAAAAAAAAAAAAAAACCCAGGAAGTTTACGCAATCTCTTTTTAAAAAATAAAAATATATTTTTAGTTGCTAACAGACCTATATTTTATTTATTTATATGTGGTGCTGAGAATCGAACCCAGTGTCTCACACATGCTAGGCAAGCGCTCTACCACTGAGCTACAACTCCAGCCCAAATTTACTCAATCTCTAGTTATAGACTTTAGTGAAATTCATAGCCTAGGGAAAATTCTTCTGACATAAAGACATTCTCTCACAATCTGTCAACCTCATCCTCAAAACATGGCTGATATAGAAAGTCTCCATAGGAGAAGCAGCAAAAGATAATGCATTAAACAAGAAGCCAAGGGATGGAGAGATAGCCTAGAAAAAAAGACTGGTATGAAAATAAAAATGAGAGGAAGGGAAATTTTTACAGAAGATGAAAAGAGGAAGAAATGAGGGAGTAGTAAATGTTGGTTTAAGACAACTAATGAAGGAAAGAATGCAGTTATAGTCATTAATGCATTTAACAAAGACTTATTAAGTATCTATGTCAGGCATTGTGGAGGTAGAGATAAATAAAACATAGTCTCTATCTTCAAAAACACACAGTCTAGGTGAGCAAATAAATACCCAGACATAAAATTATAACACCATATAGTAAGTGCTGTAATAGAGATAGACATATACTACCCTGGACTTACAGAGAAGGGAACAAGTACATCTGTTAGAGGTAAGGTGACATAGAGAAAACAAATAGATAATACTTACTCTGACATTTACACATAGTCAAATTCATTTCAGATTTATCTGAACTCTCCTTCTGAGTGAGAATCTAGTAACTTGCCTTTCCTTTTTCTTGTTCTGGCTAAGGCCTTTCAATTTCTCTACTTCTACTTTGTGATTATGATAAAAAGGATAAAGATTTCTAGAGTAGTAGTAGTATGAAATCGAGAGTTCCGAATATCTGATGTTTTACTATGTACATATAAAATACCAATAATAAATTAGTCTAGGATGAGTATTCCTTATGTGAAATGCTTGAGGGCCAAAAGTATTTCAGATTTTGGAATAGTTGTATAGATGTAATAAGATTATCTTGGGGATGGGACTCAGGTCTAAAGATGAGACTGAGATTCATTTATGTTTCATATATACCTTATACACATAGCCTGAAGGTAATTTTATATGACAGTTTTAGTGTGGCTGCATTTTGACTATGAAATGTAGAATTTTTTTCTAGTAGTTTAATGTTGGTGCTTGAAAAGTTTGAATTCTGAAGCATTTCAGCTTTTCAGATTTGAAATTTTCAGCCTATGCAAAGAATATGTTAACATGATCTTCTAAGTTAATATGAATAAACAGATAAGAAGACAAAGTTTTAATTTCTACTTTTTAGAGGTTTGTCAATAAATACTTTTCCAAATTTGATTTTTATATTCCACTACTTTGATCCACTACATCAAATAAAGTATTTTAGATAAAGTGACTAACAGGTCTAACTGCTAAATGTTAGTGTTCAATAGAGCCAGATGGCCGGGTTTCATATCCCATCTCCATTACTTACTATGTGATTTTAGGCAAGATGTTCAATTTTTCTGATATATAAAAAATGGGGATTATTAGCAGCTCCAATCTTAGGGCTTATTAAAAAATTTAAATAAATTATTACATATAAAATGCTTTATTAACTAACAATACATCTCTATACACTTTTTTCAGTGCTGGGAAGGAACCCAGGACATTGGGTATGCCAGGCTAGTGCCCCACCATTGAAGTACATCCTGAGCCTTCTATTTTAATAGATATGTAAAAATTTTACTATAGAACTAAAGAAAATACTGTTAAAAACTGATTTCTAAATTATATAAGTTAAAAATGAATTAGCCTATTTTAAGTTCATGTTTCTGTTAGAAAATATGAGGCATTTTTTATGTTTTCTAATTGGATTTCTGATTGGGGCAAATACAGATTTAGAGAAAAGAATATATGATTTAATGGATGTAAATAATCTGCAAAAAAACCAACCTGCACTAAATTTGACATACAATATCAATATCAAAATAAGTCAGTATCTCAAAAAATTTTTTCATCTTTTTTTGGGAGGTGGGGAAAGAATAGCATATATCAGTTTCATAGACTCCATTATAAATATGAATATAACCCAGCTGCAGCAGTGGTACACGCCTGTAATCCCAGTGACTGCGTGGCTAGGGCAAAAGGGATCACAAGTTTAAGAACAGCCTCAGAAACTTGGTGAGACGCAGTTTCAAAATAAAATAAAATAAAAATAGGTTGGTGATGAAGCTCAGTGGTAGAGTGCTCCAGGTTCAATCACCAGTACTGGGGGAAAAATACACAAACACACACACACACACACACACACACACACACACACACACACACACACACAGCACCCAGTGCCTACCATTATGGTCAAGTGACAAATGGGTTTTTCCCACTAAAAATTAAAAGAGGGGGTAAAAAAGAGGAACTAATGAAATATAGTTTATTTTAGGATGAGGCTTTACAACATAACTAAAGTGAAAACATTCTTTTTAATTTACTAAAAATAAACCTGGATTTCTCAGTGAGATTTAAATTAAAATAAGTCAACAGGTCAATTGATATTAAATGACTTATACGTAATAACATTAATAACAATAATAATAACAAACCACAATGTTGCTTTCTGTATCTCACTGTTTTTTGAAGGAGCATTTTATTATTCTATTATTTCTTCTTATATCATCATTGCCAACCTGTTTCATAAACAAGACCTCATTTATCAACAAACATACAGCAGATACATAAACAAATGTCTACTTAATGGGAAACCCTTCTCTAATAAGAGTAACTGGTCATGCATAAATCTCAGCTTGCTATTTAAACAAAGAAGAACGCAGGGGGGAATGTTCACTTCACACACAATGTACACAACTATATTATTATCTGTTGTTACAATGATGTAATTATAGAAACACCTGAGTTTTCTGAGTCTATTGAAATCTCATTTTAAAATAATTTTTACAGAGATTTCACATTGAGGCAAGAAACAATAGTGTTTATAATCTAAAAGATATCTGTCTGGAACTAGAATAATACTACATCTTTTGTGGAAATAGCAGCTGAAAAATTCCAACTCTAATAATAAAATGAAAGATCATCTGAAAGAAGAAAGGTAATCTAATATTAAACTGGCAATGACTTATTTTTTTGTACTATAAACCTCAAGAGATAAATAAAGGCTCAAATTTGTCTTCTATCTGCAAAAACAAACAAAACCACTGACAAAATGTATTAAAGAGAATGATTTTTCTCATGACTAATCAAAATGCTTTTGTACATTTAATTTCCACAAGCAGAAGACAAAGGTGGGTCTAGTGGTACTATTACACTTAAGGTTTATGCCCCACTCTCCAATGAAATGGGAGAAAATCCCAATTTGTAATAAAAATCTTGATGAAAGGTGAATAAATTCCTCTAAGAAACACAAATAGAATTCAGTCAGCTTTGGAAAATAAAAGCCAAGGATCTGAGGTCCATTGCTTTGCTATAAACACTTACTTGTCTGTAACAGGGATTGGGCCCAGGGGTGCTTAACTACCAGGCCACATCTCCAACCTTTTTTTGTTTTTTATTTTGAGACAGGGTCTCACTTGCTAAATTGCTGAGGCTGGCTTTGAACTTTCGATCCTCCTGCCTCAGCCTCCTTAATCAGTGGGATTTCAGGTGTGTACTTAACATGCTTGGCTTTTTTTTTTTTTTTTAAATCATAGACTGTTAAGGAGAAAACAAACAACAACAACAACAACAACAACAACAATAAAAAACACCACCACCAACTCCTCTGCTAACCCAGAGGGACATAAAAAAGGCAAACAAAACAAAATCCAAAAAACCCCTACATTTTTCAGGGAGTTATACTTGTGTGGTTAAAGAGAGAAGATAATTATGGCAATTCTAAAGTTTATATGGGGACTTGTCATTTTAATCACTAATTCTCACTCTTGCTGGTTATAGTTTAGAATCTAAGAACTAATTATATTGGCTGGGTTGTGGCTCAGTGGCAGAGTGCTTGCCTAGCACGCATGAGGCACTGGGTTCAATCCTCAGCAACACATAAAAAGAGATAAATAAAATAAAGGTATTGTGTTCATTTTTTAAAAATTTAAAAAGAAGTAATTATATGACAGCATTCTTAAAATTGATTTTTAAACAGAGCTGGCCTAACTTAGGAGTAAGCAGAACAACTCTCCCAGAGCTACCTTTGTGCTACCACAAAACATACAGCTATCATTTTTGTGGAAAACTTTATATCCTATTATTGAGAATAAATGATTTTGGAGACCATTAAGAAACAGGTAAAGTGGAAGAAATGATATTTATTACAAACAACAATCAAAGTTTGTTTCTCAAACTGAACGTGGTGATCTGATAAGAAATCTACCAGTTTTAGAAAACCAATCTTTCCTAAAATAAAGTACTGACTACTTACATCAATAACAAGAAAGTCACAATAGTTTTAACAATTTTTTTTAAAAAAAAGAAACTGACAAAGTCCTACATGTTATCACAGCTGGTTAAATAATCTGTATAATGAATTCATAAATCACTATAATTTGCAAAATCATTTCAATATCTGACCACTTTCCACTTCATTATAGGAGGAGGGGAAAAACGCATGAGCCCTTTTTCCAAGGGCCACCTTACTACACACCTTTGAGGAGTCTCTGCTACATACATTCTTTGCTTCTGAAGCTGAGGTGCCACTCACACAGACACAATGTGAATAGTGCCTCTGGAGTTGTACAACCACACAGCCTTAGTTTTATCTTAGAAGAAGCCAATAACCAATATACTATTCTAAAAATACTACCAAGTTTCTGGACTTACCAGCAGTTTAAGCAGCCAAAATCGGGACTTATAATAGAAAGTTTTAGTGGGGTTGATAAGAAAGAAAACCATAAATCCATAAAGGGCAAGTGGATACACATATGTGGGGATGACACTAATTGGAGAAAAGAAGCAAGCCAGAAGGCTCAGGCACCACAATATCCCCAGGAATCCAGCAATCTGGTAAAGGACAAGGAAGACAAAAAGAGAGAAAATTATTTCTATTTTTACCATTACTCAGAAATATCTCTAATAAACAAAAGTAAGAAAAATAATTAGTAATTAAGCCAATAATTCCTTTTAAGTAGAAGATGGATTTCAGTACTCTAATAAACTAGCTATACATATAAAGCAAACTACATTCACGGGTCTAATGTCTTGCTTTGATTACCTCAAAGAGATGCTGATGAGACAAATTGTTTCTTGGATTAAGTTCAAAGATGAGCACATGATTTACTCCAGCCTGTCTCCAACCATACGTGTTGATGCCCAGTAGAAAAAGGAATTCGATCAGAAGAAAGCCACCCCGATAGATTCTTACCAAGGGCCATATACTTTGATTTGTTTCAAGTTTAAAAATAGCTGAAAGAATATTAATATATTAGTTAGTTATAAAACCCAAAAAGTCTCCTTTAGTTATTTTCTTCATTTTCAAAGACTCCGCGAGGAATTTTTCATAAATAAAACCCATACCTATTTTATTTCAAGAGCCTGATAAAGTTGCCTCCAGATTCTTTCCCTTCCTTATTTTACTCTGTAGAATATTATTACAATATTTTTTTTATTCCACTGGTTTCTTATATTAGAGTGAGGTATGGTGAAATAACTGAGAATCATAAAATCAGCTTTGTCAGTTGGGTATTTTGGGTATGCTATAAACTCTTTGGTTTTATTGTCTTAATGGTGAACTACAGTTGCACATAATGATGAGACTTCTTGATACCCATTCATACATGTACACATACAATATAATTGGGCCAATATCACTCCCCGGCATTTCTCCCCTCTTTCCCCACCTCTTACTCCCTGCTTCCTTTCCTCTACTGGTCTCCCTTTGGTTTTCATGAGATCCCTCCCTGCTTTTCTTTTCATTTTTCCTCTTTGGATTTGTTTTCTCCACCATCAAACTAGATAGAGTAATATCTACCTCACAGAGTTGCTGTATAAAATAAATCTTTGCCCCCTGCACCTCAGATAGAGCATTAATCTCCAGGATATATAAACAAACTTAAAAAAAAAAGTTAACACAAAAAAAACCCCACAAATAACCTAATCAATAAATGGTCAAAGGAACTGAACAGGCATTTCACAGAAGAAGTAATACGATCAGTCAACAAATATATGAGAAAAAATTCAACATCTCTAGCAATTAGAGAAGTGAAAATTAAAACTACATTGAGATTTCATCTTACCCAAGTTAGAATGGCAATTATCAAGAATACAAGGAACAATAAATGTTGGTGAGTATATGGGAAAGATACACTCATACATTGCTGATGGGACTGTAAATTGGTGCAACCACTATGGAAAGCAGTATGGAGATTCCCTACAAAACCTGGTATGGAACCAGCCAATGACCCAGTTACCCCACTCTTCGGCATATACCCAAAGGACTTAAAATCAGCATACTATAGTGATGCGGCAACATCAATATTTATAGCAGCTCAATTCACAATAGCCAAGCTATGGAACGAGCCTAGGTGCCCTTCAACAGATGAATGAATAAAGAAAATGTGGTATGTATGCACAATAGGATATTACTCAGCCATAAAGAAAAATGAAATTATGGCATTTGCTGGTAAATGGATGAAACTGAAGACTATCATGCTAAATGAAATAAGCCAATCCCCACCAAAACAAAGGCTGAATATTCTCTCTGATATGTAGATGTTAACAAACAATAAGAGGGCAGGAAAGGGAAGAATTGAAGTTCATTGGTTTAGACAAAGGGGAATGAAGGGAAGGGATAAAGATGGGAACAGGAAAGACAATAGAATTAATCTGACATAACTATCCAATGTTCATATATGAATACACAACCAGTGTAATTCCACATCACGTACAACCTCAAGAATGGGAAGTTAAACTCTATGTATGTATAATATGTCAAAATACACTCTACTGTCACATATATCTTAAAAAGAACACAACAACAACAACAAAAATATATGGAAAATACAAGTTTTAGTGAGAATATACAGAAACAGAAGCTTTATAAACTGCTAGTGGAAATGAAAATGGTGTTGCTTCTACAGTTAAGAGTCTGGTGGGTTCTCAGAATGTTAAAAATGTACTCAAATCTAGTTAGATCCATGTTTGCAGCAGTATCATTCACAAAAGCCAAAAGGTAGAACTAATCCAAATATCTGTATATAAACAAATTGTGGTATGGAACCTTTTTCAGCCACAAAAGGAATAAAGTACTGACACATGCTAATGGATCCTGAAAACATATTTAGTGAAATAAGCCATAGAAAAATACCACATATTATATGATTCTAGTTATATAAAATATCCAGAATAGTTAAATTTATAGAGACAGAAAGAAGATTGGTAGTTGTTAGCAGCTGTGAGGAGAGAAATTCAGGAGTGAGGTTTCTTTTTAGGGTGATGAAAATGTTTAGTTAGATTGCAAAAGAATGTCAATGTACTCAATGCCACTAAACTGTTCATTTTAAAATGATTAATTTCATATTACATGAATTTCATCCCAATAAATAAAAATAATTGCAGAGGGAAAAGTAATAGATACAGCTGAAGATGACATTACTAACTCCAATGCTAGGCACATGCTCTGAACTAGTAGTTGTGATAGATTATGATTCAAAATTTTCTAACTGTATCTAGTTCGCATCTGTGGTCATGGATAAAAGAAAGCTAAATAGCTTACTCAAGTATTTATAGCCCTAATAGCTGGAGTGTTCTGCTCCACATATGAAGGAAATTTCCATGAACAGGAAAATATAATACATATTAATAAAACCTAAATGCAGTCTGGCACAGGGTGCACACCTATAATCCCAGCAGCTCGGGACTCTGAGGCAGGAGGATTGAGAGTTCAAAGTCAGCCTCAGCAAAAGCAAGGCACTAAGTAACTCAGTGAGACTCTGTCTCTTAACAAAATGCAAAATAGGGCTGGGGATGTGGCTTAGTGGTTGTGCACTCCTGGGTTCAATCCTCGGTAACCTCCCCACCCTAAAAAAACCCTATTAAGTTCTACTTAATAGTATAAAAACTGGAAAATCTCTAAAGCTTTTAGTAACTATGATCTTGAATAAAATAATATCCTTGAATTCCACAACTGGTAAGAAAGTTAGTAAAACAAAACAAACAGCAACAAAATACCAAGGATTATTTGTAAAATAATAAATTTAAAAGATAAAGACTTTTGAATGAAAATATAAAACTACATCTTGTGAACTGATTTAGTTTCAAAATACACATCACAATCTTAATGATTCATAGTCAAGTTATTAATCAAAGACCAGAAACTTCAAATTGCTCAAAATATAAAATCTAAGAATATAGATTAACTTCTTTCTGAAGCAACATTTTGTAAAGGTACTGGAGATTAAACCACAAAAATTCTTGCTAGGATAATAATAGATAATCTGGGAAATTCCAACATATTAAAAAACAGAATGAATTAGCATCATTCTTTTAAGAATAAGGATATCATCTCTGTGATTCATTGTTCCACAAAATAAAACATATATATTGCTCCATTTCAAACTCTCCATGGCTTTATGAATTTTTAATTAAAAAACCCTAACATTCATAAAGCATTTATTCTGGGCTAAGCAATGTGCTCAGTGTAGTACATGAATAATTTCATTAATTCTCACAGCAACACTCTAAATTGGTTTTCCTTAGCAGATACATGAAGAAACTGAGGCTTAGTTAAATTAGGTTCCTTGCCTAGGGCCACAAGGATTTAATATTGGCAATGTGGCTCCAAAGCCTGCACTTTTAATAATAGGGTTATATTGTATAGAAAGTAATATGTGCTTACAAAAAAACAAAATAAAACAGAGGCTTATCCTAAAACTTTTTAAAAAACTAGTCTTCTCTTTACTGTACCAAGTTGCCAAATCAGTTTTCTTTAAAAGAACATTAAAAAATTTTTGAACAATTTTAAAATTATTTTTTTTTGTATTTGAGAAAAAGCTCCTCAAATCATTAGAAAGGAGATAAGAAGCCTCTTCTTGCTCTAGGTCCTATTCCCCTTTCCTGGAGGTTAACAATTTTGTTTATTATCTTCCAAGAAATTCTTAATGTACAGAGAAATAGTCACTGAATAACTTTAAAAACAAAACAACTCTGGGCTGGGGATGTGGCTCAAACGGTAGCGCGCTCGCTTGGCATGCGTGTGGTGCTGCACATACAACATCTTTGTTTGTATGTGCAGCACCACATACAAACAAAGATGTTGTGTCCGCCGAAAACTAAAAAATAAATATTAAAAATTCTCATTCTCTCTCTCTCTCTCTAAAAAAAACCAAACAAACAAACAAAAACTCACCAGATACAATAGGAAGCATGCTACACATGTTCTAAAACTTGCTTTATTCACTTATACTCTGGAATGACCGTATCAGTACATAAATTCCTTTCTAACGTAAAGTTCAAGTGTTACATGCATGTAGAAAAATGGATAAATCATAAGTACACAGTATAATGAAAAATGGGAAAGTATATTAGGAACCAGAAGAAAAAACAGTACAGTACACTGTAGCATTCCAAGGCCCACTGTATATCCTCTTTCATGGTGCTATCCATTCCAAGGGTAAACATAATCCTTTCTAACATTTAACTAGAAATTGCACCCAGGGGCCTTACACATCCTAGGCAAGTACTCTACCACTGAACTATATGCCCAATCCTTCTTTTTTTTGGTGGTGCTAGGGATTGAACTCAGAGCCCTTCTTAGTTTATTTTTCAGACAGTATCTTGCTAAGCTGCCCAAGTTGGTCTCAAACTTGTGCTCCTCCTGCCTCAGCCTCCCAAGTCGAGATGGAATTACTCGTGTGTACCACCATGCCCAGATGTGTCTGGCTTCTTTTGTTCAATATCTGAGATTCATCCATGTTCTTATATGTAGTTAAATTTAATTATTCTCACCACTATATACTATTCCACTGGGCACAGATGTACTATAATTTATCCATTCTATGGCTGATGAAATTAGGCCTGTTTCCAGTTTGGGGATAATTATAAACAGTAGTGTTATTAATGTTCTCATACATGTCCTTTGGTGAAAATACGTAGGCATTTCTATTATTAGAGCTGGATCATAGGTTACTATATATTCAGTTTTGGTAAACAGTGCCAAAGGGTTCTCCAAAGTGCTATGTCCATTTTCACTTCTACCACTATCTCCTTTATTTTAATATCTCCATTGCATTTCATTGTACAAGGACAATATAATTCATTTAAACAGTTCATGACTGAAAGATATGTAAGTGGTTTCTAGGATTTTGCTATTATAAATAAAATGGCAGTGAATACCTCCTTGGATATATTTTTTTTTCAACCAAATACAAGTATTTCTGTGGGTTAAATTTCTAGAAATAAAATTACTTAACTGTATTTAAACTTTTTACATAGACTACCAAATTACCCTCTAAAGAGATCACAACAATTAACATTATTACCACTAGTATACAAGTGCCTACTTCACACCCTTGTATCTACCATAAATGGTCATACTAATAAGTGAAATATGGTATATTGTTATTATATGAAATTAAGGTTACTAGGAATCTGTAAGAGAAAGAAGTTTTTAAAAATTTATATAGAAAACTTATAATTTCCAAGAAACTAAATTCTGGAATATGTGATTTTTCAAACAAATTATCAAACACCAGGTCATCTCCCCTTGAGAAACCATAGCAATTATGCACATAATTTTTTTGATGTGAGTGCTGAAAAAAAAAAACTCATGCTTGTACATGCATTATTACTGCTGTGTTTCTTTGAGACTCTCCACACTTATCTTCTGAGCACCAGCTGTGAGACAAATAAGGATTGACAGCTGGTTTTCACAATATTTATCCCGCCCCCCCCAGCAAGACACACAAAGATCAAACAGAGATAGGTTCTGAGGTGAGAAAATACAATGTACAACACTAAATGCATAAATCACATACATTTAAAAAAAACACAAAATTGTATCACAAAAATATTCTATACTTACTATACAAAACTAAACCTCAGATTGTCCTGAATTAAAAAGATAAACCTTTCTTTTAAAAAAAATGAAAAGAAAGAAGTTTGTTTTTTCTTATGTCATACTTAACTATGATGATGATAATACCACCATAGCATCTTGGAAATAAAAAACAATTCTACTCTCAAATGATTAAAGGTGTTTTCCAACAGAAATAACAACCTCCACCACAAATACCACATATACTTTTTATTGATGTACTACTCTGCAACTAAAAGCATATTTTACTAACACTTCTTATCTGATCCCTATGAACTGTTACCAAAGCCAGATTTTCACCCTTTTCAACTAACATTCCCTGCTGCACCCTAGGTGCATTTATCATTTTTCTCTTTGATAACCATTTGCTCCTCCTGTGTAACTCCCTTACCCAGGATCAACTAACTATGATCATTTCTTTCCTCCTCTTGGAATGCCTTTAATCCATTAATGTCTAGCATAAATTCCCTTTCTTCCATAAAACCTTCCCTAATGTTCTCATTTCAAAGTAATCAGGGCTAGCTTGGTGGCACATGCCTGTAATCCCAGCTGCTGGGGAAGCTGAGGCAGGAGGTTTGTGAGTTCAAAGCCAGCTTTAGCAAAAGTGAGGTACAATTCAGTGAGACCCTGTCTCTAAATGAAATACAAAATAGAACTGGGGATGTGGCTCAGTGGTCAAGTGCCCCTGAGTTGAATCCCTGGTACCCACTCCCCTTCAAAATTAAAAAAATAAAAATAATCAGTTGTTGGGCTGGGCTTGTGGCTCAGTGGTAGAACACTTGTCTCGCATGTGTGAGGCACTGGTTTTGATCCTCAACACCAAATAATACACACAAAAAAGTTAATAAAAAAAAAGTAATCAGTTGTTCTTTTGAACTGCTAAAATATTTAACATCTTCAATCTTACAGTGTATTATTATTGTTTTAATACATACCTTAATCTCTTTAGCACAACAAAGTTCATAAGGAAAGTGATTTTCTTTTCTATTTCACAGGTATCAAGTATAATCATGAGACACATAAAATTTATTTGTTGAATAAATGAATAAAGTCTAAAACAACCCTGTAAATTTAATATATTAAGTTCATTTAACAGATGAGAAAACTGTTTTTAAAAAGTTAAGGAATGTCCTTAAAGCCAAAACAACTAACAAACAGTGGAGCTGGGACCAAAACTCAGGCAGACCTTTCGTTTTTTCCACAACAGCTAGCTAGACAATCTAGACTTAGATTTTTATACAATTTCCATGTATCGTAAACATATAGATTGTGTTCAACCTAAAGAAACAGAACAAGCTTAAAATGTTATTATAAATTACATCAATATATTAAATCATAAGCTTAGGTGTATAATACTTATTAAAGTTAATTTTTAGTAACAAGTCAGAAGAATTCAAATACAGGTAAAAACACACTATTAATAGGTAAAGTTCATATGTTCTCCAAAAGCATTAGAACTTTTGGGTTATAATTTCATAATGTAAAACAGACAGTCTTAAGAAGAATGATTATGAGGAATAATGAACTCTGCAAATTATTTCTCAAATATCTGATATATGCTTGGAACTTTAAATACAAAAATTTTATATATATACCCTGCAAATCAAGAATAGGAATAGTGTGATAGTATATGAACCGTCTTTGTTCAGGTATTATTATGATTACTAAAAATCCAAAATGGAATATCATGGATATTTATATAGTAATGTCTATTTTTAAATCATATTTCTTTGCAAACATTACTGAACAGAATTTACTTTTATTAATAATCCAGTTATCATAAACCTAATTCTATGACTCCTGAGGTACATCATGATTACTTGCTCTTAAATTTGTAAGAAAAAAAATACTTATCCCTGACAAATTTCTTTCAGTAACATTGGTAGATGTACACTTGATTCTTTACAGAGGAACAGAATTTGACACAGAATTAATTCAAAATTTAAACTACTTGCCTGCAAACACAAGGGTAATATTCAACACAATGAATATTCCACAAAATAGGCCAACTCTAAAAGTAGTCCATGCTGGTGCAGGCTGTAAGCAGAAAAACAGAAGTGTAAATTAAAAAAAAAATCAAATTCATTACTTATATGCTGTAAGTCAATAGTAATAAGCCTCAAAATTTTATCACGAAATAGTACATTATGATCTGAATTTTTATAATGTGAACCAGAGAATCATTCACCCCTCATTACCCTATAAATAACTACAGAGTTGCCAGTTGAATTCTTTCACAGAAACCTGAGTCATGAAATAAGATTATAATCTTAGGCATCAAATTACATATATACTGCAGTTTTCTAATGAGATTTAAAACGTCATTTTATTTTTCCAATGTACATACCTCTAAAATTTCCCAAGTCATTATTACTCAGAGCTTACATATCTGGTACTATGAATAATTAGAGAATAATTAAAACTAAACATTTATTTCATGAATTTTCTGCTAGTATTTAATTATTATATTAGGATAATTTTAAGTAAAAATTTCAAGACATACTAGAGATTTTTGACAAACTGGTATATCAGAATACTCAGAGTGTGCAGGTTCAAGTAATATTTTTCTTTATTATAATTTAATATTATATTTATAAATGCCTTCAAAACTACTATTTTCTAAAAATAAAGAACAGAAAGTATCTGAGATTTTAAACATAAAAGATGAGAAACACAGATAATCTTATGGACATTTCAGAGGTGATATTATACTTCCTATATTTTAAATATTTTCTAAAAACTTTAACCCCTCTCCTCCCCAAAAAAACATTGAAACTTTGATCTTTTTCAGTAACAGATATCTGAATTAATAGTTTCATAATGAAAGCATCCAAAAGGAAGATGGTCATAAATCTTAAAAAAAAAAAAAGTTATCTTTAGTTTCAAAAATGATTCAACATATACATACAAAGGAATGTATTTAATGTATTTGGATTATAAGAAATGATAAATAAAATAAACCTATATAATGCTTATTACTCATCTTATTTTTTTAAAATATTTTTTAGTTGTAGGTGGACACAATAACTTTATTTCATTTTTATGTGGTGCTGAGGATCGAACCCAGTGCCCCACACATGCTAGGCAAGTGCTCTACCTCTGAGCCCCAGTCCCCAAATATATATTTTTATTTTTTAGTTGCCAATAGACCTTTATTTATTTTTATGTGGTGCTGAGGATTGAACCTAGTACCTCACACATGCTGAGCAAGCGCTCTACCACTGTGCTACAACCTCAGCCCATCTTTTTTTAAATATTTTTTTTAGTTGTAGATGGACACATTTATTTTATTTGTTTATTTTTATGTGGTGCCAGGAATCAAACCCAGTGCCTCCCGCATGCTAGGCAAGCTAGATCATATGGTAGGTGTCTATTTAACTTTTTAAAAAATTTTTAATATTTATTTTTTAGTTTTCGGTGGACACAACATCTTTATTTTATTTTTATGTGGTGCTGAGGATGGAACCCAGCGCCCCGCGCGTGCCAGGTGAGTGCGCTACCGCTTGAACCACATCCCCAGCCCATCTATTTAACTTTTTAAGAAAATGCTAAACAGTTTTCCAATGTGGTAGTAACATTTTACATTCTACCAGGGATATGAGATGAGAGAGTTCCTGTTCCTCTAATATTTAATATGACTGTTTAATTTTAGTCATTCTAATAGGTATTTTCTCACTGTCGTTTTAATTTGTGCTTTTCTATTGCCTAATGATATTAAGCATCTCGTGATATACTAATTTTCCACCTGTATATTTTTTATGAAGTATCTGTTCAGGTCTTGCCCAGTGGAAGTTGTTTTCATTATTGAGTACTGGAGTTCTTTATATATATTTTGTATACAAGACCTTTATCAGATATGTTTTGTAAATATTTTATCCTAGTCCACCGATTTCCTTTTCATCCTCTTAACAGTGAATTCTCTTATATATTTATTTATTTATATGTGGTGCTGAGGATTGAACCCAGGGCCTCATGAGTGCGGGGCAAGCGCTCTACTATTAAGCTAAAACCCCAGCCCTTAACAGTGTCTTTTAAAAAGTGTAAGTTTGAGCAACCAAAAATCACTAGGATTTTCTCTTACATGTCCTTCTAGAATTTATAGTTTTAAGTTTCTTTTAGGGCTATGGTACATATAGAAACACATAATGTAAAATATGGGTAAAAGTTCGATTTTTTTTTTTGCATATAAAATCCAATTTGTTCAAAACACTGTTCTTTCTCTAATGACCTGCTTCTTTGTATTGAAAATTAGTTGCTCATATATGACTATGTTACTCTATTTTTGGACTCTATTTTGTTCCATTGAAGTATTTGCCCACCTTGATACCAAAAAAAAAAAAGTGTGATATTAGTATCAGAGATTGAACCCAGGCAGGGGTACTTCACTACTGAGCCATATCCCCAGACCATTTTTATTTTTTATTTTGAGACAGGATCTCACTAAGTTACTTAGGGTCTCGCTAAGTTGCTGAGGCTGGCCAAACTCCTGCCTCAGCCTCCCGAGCTACTGGGATTACAAGTGTGTGCCACTATGCTTGGCTCACACTCTTGATTACTGCAGTTTTAATAATAAGCTCTGATACAAGGTAGGTAGTGTGATCTTCTTACTTATTTGTTTCAAAGTTGTGTTGGCTGTTCTAGGTCCCCTGAATATCCATATGTACTTTAAAACTAGCTTGCCAATTTTTATATGCATACACAAAAAATGCCGCCTGCTAAACTTTTAAAGCTGAATTGTTGGTATCTATAAATCAATTTAGGAAATAACATCTTAAAAATACTGGGTATATCCATTAAATCTACATGAACATGATATGTTTCTCATTTAGGTTGACAATGTTTTATAGTTTTCAATATAAAGATCTTTTACATCTTTTGTTAGAATTCCTCCAAAATATTTCCTATTTTGATGATATTATAAATAGAATTATTTAAAAAGTTTTGGTTTTGTAATTTTTTTTTTTTTTGGTATTGGGGATTGAACTCAAGGGCAATTGACCACTGAGCCATATCCCCAGCCCTATTTTGTATTTTATTTATAGACAGGGTCTCACTGAGCTGCTTAGTGCCTCGACATTGCTGAGGCTGGCTTTGAATTAGTGATCCTCTTGCCTCAGCCTCCCAAGCCACTGGGATTACAGGTGTGCTCCACCACACCCAGTGATTTGTAATTATTCTTCCTAATTCACAGATGTACAACTGATTTTTTTTTTTTGTAAATTGATACTGTATTCTGTAATCCTGCTGAACTCTCTTATTGATTCTAATAGCTATTTTATAGATTCACTGGATTTTTTACATGGGGAAAATTTACACTGGATTTTTTTACTGGCAAAACCAACAAACAACAAAAACCCAATTCACCAGTTTCACTTCTTCCTATCTATATAGAAACACATAATGTAAAATATGTATTTCTATATAAAAATCTGAATGCCTTTTATTTCTTTTTCTTGCCATATCACACTGGCTAAGTCAGTACAATGTTGGATTAATAGTAGTAAGAGTAAATATGTATTTTTATTTCTAGTCATGGGGAGTAAGTTCTTGGTGTTATACCACTAAGTTTGATAGTTAGGTTTTTTCATAGATATCTTTTATTAGGTTTTGGAAGTTCTTTCTGTTATTAGTTCAATTCCACTCTGGTCACAGAGGATACCTTGTATCAGTTAAATTCTTTTAAATTTATTAAGACTTGTTTCTGATACAGTCATGTTTCATTATCTAAACCTTCCATACCATCAAAAAATCTCATCTTAATGGTTTAGCGAGACCAAGAAGTTCACATTAATAGGAGTAAACAAGAGAAGGAGTACAGAATAACAGAAAAGCCGGAAGGAATTTAAATTTGTCATGAAGCAAAAGCTGACATCTAGTTGTTTAAAAACTTGAACAACAATAGTAACAACTATTTATAAGTTTTGGCTCAAAAAAATGTAAGGTAATAATGCCAGTTAACAATCAGATTGTGCTGATTATTAAACAAGCAGAAGCAAATACTAACCTGAGCAGCTCCCAAAGGGGGGACACGTAAACGCTTCATAGCCTTTTGTCTGTCACCATCTTCAAGTTCATTGGTCACTACAGCCTAAAGAAACAAATTATTAAATTTCAACACAAGTTATTCTATTTTTTTTTTGAGAGAGAGAGAGAGAAAATTTTAATATTTATTTTTTAGTTGTTGGCGGACACAACATCTTTGTTTGTATGTGGTGCTGAGGATCGAATCCGGGCTGCACGCATGCCAGGCGAGCGTGCTACTGCTTGAGCCACATCCTCAGCCCCCACAAGTTATTCTATACTTTATTAATGCATAGATAATTCTGTACCATTCTTATAAATTATATTTTGATAACCTCTTGATTAATGTACACTGACATACAGCAAAAGAAGACAAATCACAAGTAAGACTATACATATCCAAAGCTAACAACTATTTACAAAAGAATAGAAATACAGACCTCTTTGTTTCAAGTAAGACATGAATATTATTGAAAACGTGTATAAAAAGGTAGGATTATTATACCTCAGTTTCAGAGATGAGCTGGTTGATTTTTTTGCATGTATAAAATGGAGCCACTTCTACATGAGCCACTCGCCAATCTGCTCCACGAGAAGTTTCCAGGATCTTGTCATGCTTTTTAAGGATTTTTCTAAACCCTGTAAAATTCAAATTCTACAACAACAACAACAACAAAAAAAATCAGAAATACAACTGTAATTCTTTATCATCAAAAAAGATGAAAAATAAAAATCACTAAGCACTGTCAGAGGTGACTGGATAAAGATTGAGTACCCAGGGAGATAGCAATGTTTTCATAAAAGTACTCACTACTAAAAGGATAAGATTCTTCTGTCTTATTTCACTCACTCGTTTCAAAGTAGTATGTTATTAGTAACACAAAGAGATACTGAACTACCAACAATTTCCCTTCCAAGTAAATTAACTAAAAACCTAAACTGAAAACATTTTTTTTTTTTTTTTAAAGAATAGTACTCTGGTGCTGTGTACTGGATTGTGTCCTCCCCACCATGTGCATATCTTGAAGCCCAAACCCCCAGTGTTTTTTTTTTTTTTTTTTAGAATTTTAATATTTATTTTTTAGTTTTTGGCGGACATAACATCTTTGTTTGTATGTGGTGATGAGGATCGAACCCGGGCCGCACGCATGCCAGGCGAGCGCGATACCGCTTGAGCCACATCCCCAGCCCCATGAAAACATTTTTAAAAATAGTTTTCTTTAGTTGTAGATGGACACAATGACTTTATTTTTAGTTATTTATTTTTATGTGGTGCTGAAGATTGAACCCAGAGCCTCACACATGCTAGGTGAGTGCTCCACCACTGAGCCACAACCCCAGCCCAACATTTTTACTTTCATATTTTTTATATACAACTATTGTCAAATTAGCTTAATTATGTTACTTTACTGCTTTGGTCAAAAATATTTTCAGAAAATGCTTTTTATTTATTGTGCTCAGAACACATTTATTTAGTACTTTGCTTTTTGAAGGACTGGTACAGAAGTGCATTTTCTCTTCTATCAGGTAACCCATGTAAGCACTTGCAAGGAAAATGGATGCTCATTTAGTCTGCTCAACTTTCCTTTTCCTTTCATTAATCTCAGATTGGGGATAGGAATGAAAAAGTCAGTAGGAAGGAAGAAGTGAACTCAGTTGATAGTGTAGAAATTGAGGAAAAGTGGGTTCGTATCCTATAAAAATAGTATAAACACTAAACTTTTCCACATTTTCAAATTCTGTTGTTGTTTGCCCATTGTTTGAAGAAGCTAGAAATCATGGATTTCTAAGGCTAGATCTATAAACTAAACATCTCTCAAATCTGATGATTACATACTTCATTAATAAAAAAGAATGAGCAGACACTCCAAAATAAGTTCTGCTTTCGTGTTTTTAAGATTTTTTTCCCTCTCAGGCTGGGAGTGTAGCTCAGTGGTAAAGTGCTTGCCTAGTACTTGTGAGGCCCTGAGTTCAATCCCTAGCACTGGAAAAAAAAATTTTTTTTCTTACCATATTTTACTGTTTGATATTAAACTCTCCTTGGGGTACACATATTATAACTTGGACACCGCTTTTAATTTCCCCTTTTCCCTGATTCTCAAAATAAATGTACTCTTATAATATAGAAACCCCCAACGAATAGAGACTAGAGCAGAACTTTCATGATTAACAATTACTTTTGTCTTCCCAAGAAGCTTCTTTATAATTTCCCAAACAAAAGTTGCTGGAAAAAATTGATAAAACAAAATTTAACAGGGTATTTTCCTGTAACACAAAAGCATGTTAAGGAACTATGAAATATTGTTTTTATAACATATGGGAAAGCACTTTGTTTCTTTTAAAGGTTAAGTTATGAACTATATATTTAAAAATTAAAATTAAGTTATAAAGCTATGGATAAAGCTTCAAAACAAAGGAGTTTATCATTATACATATTTTATTTCTTTTCTACTGTTATTTTCCAATTGAGTTCTTCTTTAAATGATAAAATATTAAATCATCAAAGAAGGTAGAATTATGAAGGGGCAAGTTAGAAATAAGTATATGCATTAATGACAGATTACTATAAATATGGGACTTTAATTATTTTTTATTTTAAAATTCTAATTCTTATCTCAGGCAATACTTTTGTTGAACTATCTTTACTTTTTACTTGTTATACCATCCTATGATGGTCTTAACCACTCAATACAATAATCACAAAACTAACATGAAAAACAAATAGTACACCAGATCTCTCTAATTAGATGCATATGCTTATTTAGAAGTTTACAATTGAAAACAGATTTTTAAAAAAAACATATTTAATTTTTTAGTTGTAGATGGACACAATGTATTTTATTTTTATGTGGTGCTGAGAATTGAACCTAGGCCTTGCACGTGCTAGGTGAGCACACAACCCTAGCCTTGAAAACAGATTTTTTGTTCAATAATCTTTTATAATTTAAACAATGTGAACAAACTTATAAAAATTATAAATGAATAAATGCTCTGTATTTCCATAATTTAGCATAATTGGAAGTTCAATTTTTTTCAGACAGGTTTTTAAAATATTAAGTGATATAACAGCCGAGATGTTCAGTCTCAACACATCTGCTATGACTTAATTCCTCTCTTTAGATTTTTTCTTTTAATTTAGTTATACTGAAGTCTGTGAGCAATAAAATTGAAAGGATTCTGTTAGTGGCAATCTGAAAAAGTCAAGATCTTTTGTTTTATTAGTGCTAATTGCAGGAATGTTAACTTTCCAAATTTTTTTTGTGGAAATTTTCCTATTGGTTAGCAGGAACATAAATGCTCTTACATAGCCCAAAATGGTTACATAGATTCTACCAGAACTGCTTTAAAGAATAGAGTGTAAACTGTTAGTCCCTGAGTCAAGGGATAACCCTTCATGTAGAATGCTTTTTAGAAAATTAATGTTCAAAAATATAAGTCTTTCCTACCATTTTTTTGCTCCATGGTTTTTAGTCAATAAGAACATCTAAAATCCCAATAAGAACATCAAGAATAAATGTATGCTAATGACTTTCCCTTTTGGATTGACTCATTCTTACTGTTCACGATAGTTCTATTAAAATTTCTCATTTACTTAAAAATGCAATTATCCAAGATGAGAATCTAAGTACCTGATAGTTCTGCAGCAGGATAAGACTGAGGTAGAACTCGCTGAAGGCCAGTTTAAGGTCTTTAATATTCCTATGTTGGACACGCTCTTCATGGGACAGGTGGAAGACTGGCTTTCTGCGTTGTCGCAGTGTAGTAACACCAGTACTTTCTTTCTGGGCATCCAGTGATGACTGAAGCTCATTCTGAAGTGTAGCAAATCTACGCTGAGCCTCTGCGAGTTTCTCTATTAGAAATAAAACAGAATTGTCAAATCAGTTAAGGTAAATATTTGATAGTAAGAGTTCTCACTGGCTTATGAAGTTTTATTAATTATTATAATTTGCTTTTCTAGAATTTCTAGGGGAAAAATGTTACATGTAATATTTAGAACTGGATAGAAAAAATATTTTAATGTAATATATTTTTCATTCTACCCCATAATTCACTTCAAACAAAAATGTCAGTACCCTTTCTTTATACAGATGAAGAATAAAATGTAAAGAGTTACTAAGAGTCAGAATGTGGAATGGTACCTCCATTCTGAAATTTGAAAAACAGTTTGACTGATCTTAAAAAGTAAAACAGAATTACGATATGATTTAGCAATTCCACTTCTAGGTATATTACCTAAGAAAACTAAAAACATACACTGAAACAAACAAATACACAAACTTGCATTCACAATAGCCCAAAGTGGAAACAATCCAAATGTCCATTAATTGATGAAAGGATAAACAAAATGAAGTGTGTGCACGCATACAAACAGACACACACACTCTCTCATAGGAATATCAGCCAAAATGGTATTAATTCATGTTATGTTGGATAAACCTTGAAGATATGCTGTGAAAGAAGCCAGACACAAAATATCACATATTGTATTATTCCATTTATATGAAATGTACAGAACACAGAAATTCATAGACATAGAATATAGATTAGTGATTGCCAGTGGCTTGGGGACAAGGATATTGGGAAATGACTGCTGCCAGGTATGTAGCATCTTTTGGGGATGATGAAAATATTTTGGAATTAGATCATGGGGATGGTTGTATATCCTTGTGAATAAAAATAAAACCACTGATTTATACATTTTAAAAGAATATCTTAATTTAAAAAGACTAATATGAAATGTTTCTGGTTGTACGGTTTAGTGGAGAAACAGGATTAGAATTCGGGGCTTTAGGTTTTTAATCTTGTATTTCCTACCTTGTATTATTACTTCTCTAAAACAGGTATTCTAGGAAATGACCAAAATTAAAAAAAGAATTATGTGTTTAAAAAAATTAGGTATATCTGGATGTATGTGCTTATACAGTTGTCCCTCAGTATCCCTCAGTATTTACTTCCAAGGACATACCGGAAATGATTGTGGGGAAATGACTATGGTACCCCAAATCTGTAGATGCTCAAGTATCATTTAAAATGGTATAGTATTTGCATATAACATACAATTTATTTCCCAAATACTTTCTTTCTTTGCAGTGCTGAGCATTGAACCAAGGGCCTCATACATTCGAGGCAAGCTCTTTACCACTGAGTTATATCCTCAGTCCTCTCCCATAATATAAAGTGTCTCTAGATTACTTGTAAAAGCTAATACAATGTAAATTATTCATTATACTGTATTTTATTTAGGAAATAAGAAAAATGTCTGTACATATTCAGTACAGATGCCATTTTCTCCAAATATCTACCTATTTATAGCTACATATCTAAAATATTTAATTTAAAAAATATATATTTCTTTTTGCAGTGCTGGAGATTGAACCCAGAGCTACACTTATGCTAGGCAAGCATTCTACCACTAAGCTATACTCCCAGCCCTCCTAAATATTTTGGACTTATAATTGGTTAAATTCATAGATGCAAACCCACTGACGTGGAAGGTCAACTGTATTTAAAAATAATACTCTGGGGGAAAAAAAACAGAAAAACAAACAATTACAGCAATTAAGAATAAAACTCTGTAACTTTACTTCCAAGGACATACCGGAAATAGGTAAATTTGGTTTTAAATCTTTGACTCATTAACTAGTCAATTTTAGTCTAGAGATTTTTTTTTTAATTTTTCTACTCCTTTCATAGGTGAAAGAGAGAATGCTAACTCCCTCATAAAATGGTTGCAAAAATGAAAAATGACAAGGAACTTGGCACTCAGTAAATAATGATGTTAATAATTATGTAATAAAAAGCATTATTTATGACTCCTTTCTCAAGTTCTTCCGTTCTCTTTTTTTTTTTTTTTTTTTTTTACTGTTATATGATCTTGTCTTACCCTAATCTTTAGTACTGTTGTCTTGTCTGGCATTGCTTCTTTATTATTCATTGCTCTCTTTCTTTCAGTATCTTTCCTTTTTTTTGGGCAGTACTGAGGATTGACCAGGCCTCACGTGTGCTAATAATAATAAGCAAGCCTTATTCACTATCATGGTATTCCACGTAGTCTTGCTTTTAAAGAAACTATTTACATAGCAAAGGAAACAAAGCCATGAGTTCATACCCATGGAATAAACTAGTCACAGAAGAACTTATTTCTCATGTTAATGTCTGTATGTGACAACCCAAAGCCAAAGTCATACTGAACAGAGAAAAACTGAAAACGTTTCCTCTATAATCATGAATAAGACAAGGATGTTAACTCTCAACTCTCCTAATCAATACAGTTTTGAAACACAAACCAGACCAATCAGACAACACAGAAGCAAATTAAAGGGATATGAACAGGAAAAGAAATCAAATTCTCTGTTTGCTGATGACATAATTTTATACCTCAAGGACCCAAAAAAGTCCATCAGAAGACTTCTAGATTTGACCCCAAAAAGTCCATCAGAAGACTTCTAGATTTGACCCAAAAAAGTCTATCAGAAGACTTCTAGATTTAGCAAAGTAGGAAGATACCAAATTGACATACAAAAATCAATAGCTTTCTGGTACTCCAACCATGAATCTGTCAAAAACTAAATCAAAACTACTCCATTCATAGTAGCCTCAAAAAAAAAAAAAAACACTTAGGAATACATGTAAGAAAGTGAAAGATCTCTATGAAAAGTATTATAAAACAGCAAAGAAATATATTCAAGACGACCTTAGAAGATGGAAAGACCTACCATGTTCATGGATAGGTAGAATTAATACTGTCACAAAGGCCATATTATCAAAAGCAATCTATAGATTCAATTCAATCCCTATCAAAATGCCAATGACATTATTCACAATGTCAGAGGGGAAAATCCTCCTAAAACTTATAGAGAAGAACAAAAGATCTAGAATAGCCAAAGTAATCCTGAGTAGCAAGAGTGAGACTGATCTCCAATTATACTACAGAGCTAATAAATATAGCATGCAATGGCATAAAAACAGATGCAAAGAAGAATGAAGAGACTAGAAGACAGAAAAATCCACAGTTATCTAATCCTTGACAGAGATGCCAAAAGCATACACTGGAGAAAAAATAGCCCTGTGCTGGGAAGACTGTATGTAGAAGAATGAAACTAGATCCCTACCTCTCATACTGTACAAAAATTGACTCAAAGTGGAGTAAAGACCTAGGAATTGGATCAGAAACAGTGTAACTTCTAGAAGAAAACATAACTCCAATATACTGGCACAGGTACTGACCTCCTTAATAACTTCTAAAGTTCAAAAAATAAATCGACAATCAATAAGTGGGATGGCATTAAAATAAAAATTTTAAAAATACTGTGAGAATCAAATAATAATAAAAAAGGAATCAAGAGCATGAAGAAAGAATATATAGAACAGAACAAATTCTTTGCCACCTACTCTTCCTACAGGTGATTAGTAACAAGAATATATAAAAAAACTCAAAAAGCTTAATCCTCCCCCCCAAAAAAACCTAATAACCAACTCAGTAAATGGGCAAAAGATCTAAAAAGACAATTCTTAAAAGAAGAAATACAAAACGTTCAACATCCTTAGCAACTGGGGAGATGCAAATTAAAAAACCTTGAGATTTCACCAATGGCGATCATCAAGAATCTAAATAATGAAAATTGTTGGCAAAATGTGGGAAAAAGTATGGTAGTTTATACATTGCTGGTGGAATTGCAAATTAGTATAATTAGTTTGGAAAGCAACATGGAGATTTCTCAAAAGAACAGTAATGGGACCACCATATGACCTAGCTATACCACTCCTCAGTATTTATCCAAAAGAATTAAAATCAGCATACTATAGTGATACATGCACAACAATGTTTATAGCAGCACAATCCTCAATAGTCAAGTTATAGGTACCCATCAGTAGACAATTAGATAAGGAAAATGTGTTATATATATACAATGGAGTTCTACTCAGTCATAAAGAATGATATTAGGGGCTGGGTTGTGGCTCAGTGGTAGAATGCTTGTCTGTCATGTGTGAGGTACTGGGTTTGATCCTCAGCACCATACAAAAAGCTATTGTGTACATCTACAACTAAAAAAAAAAAAAAAAAAAAAAAATTTTTTTTTTCTTTTTGCTAGATCCCCAGCCCTTAAAAAAAAATTTTTTTTAAATAAGAGATTAATGCTTTAATGGAAGTGGCTGTGGTAAAGATTTTCTCCGAATCTGTAGGATTTCTCGTCACTTTATTGTTTCCTGAAAAAAAAAAAAGGGGGAAAAAGAAAAGGCTTTTTAACTTGAATCCATCCCATTTACTAATTCTTGATTTTACTTCTTGAGCTTTAAGAGTCTTGTTAAGGAAGTCAGATCCTAGGCCAACATGGTGAAGATTTGGGCCTATTTTTTCTTCTATTAGGTGCAGGGTCTCTGTTCTAGTGCCTAAGTCTTTGATCCACTTTGAGTTGACTTTTGTGTAGGGTGAGAGATAGAGGTTTAATTTCATTTTGTGACATACGGATTTCCAATTTTGCCAGCACAATTTGTTGAACAGACTATCTTTCCTCCAGTGAATGTTTTTGGCACCTTTGTCTAGTGTGGCACCTTTTTTCTAGTATGACATAACCACATTTATGTGGGTTTGTCTCTGTGTCCTCTATTTTGTACCACTGTACCACAAGTCTATTTTGGTGCCAATACCATGCTGTTTTTATTACTATACATCTGTAGTATAGTTATGATGCCTCCTGCTTCACTTTTCTTGCTAAAGATTGCTTTAGGTATTCTGGGTCTCTTATTTTTTCCAAATAAATTTCATGATTGCTTTTTCTAATTCTATGAAGAGTGTCACTGCGATTTTAATAGGAATTGCATTAAATCTGTGTAACGCTTTTGGTAGTA